GAGTGGCAGGAGAAGAGTGGAGTTTGCCCTGCTGTGATGTGATCATATGTGATTTGAGCAGATAGATGGGAAAAGATCTATTAACAGGTTTTGGGCATTAATGCATCTCCAGGGATATCATCAGCATAACTCCATTACTGTGAGAATTTATGTCAAACTGTAGGAGGATCATAGCAAACCATTTCAGTTGTATCCTAGCCCCGTTTAGTTTTAAGGCTGAATGATTCTGTAAGAGTTACAGGGAAGCTAACCCCACTCACAACATTCAAGTTTTTCTACTAGATATCTTCTGTGTATCTAACTGGAGTTCTTCTCTCTTCTAGATTCTGTCATAATGCTTACAGTGATGCAAATATTATTTCAATAGCAATAGACAAATCCATCTACTTGGCAAAGAAAGACAGCCATTTTGTGGAAATCTGGGACAAGAAGACAGAAAAACTTTCAGAACTAATTGACTGTGCACATTTTCTTAAGTGAGTGTTTATTTCAGATTGATGGCCTAAAACATAGAAAGCTGAATATCAGATTGCCTTCTCTAGCATAGTACCTTAAGCTGCTGGAGGTAAAGGGATTTGCCCAGTTCTTTGGGCAAATGTGGAATTCCTTGCCTTTCTTTTCAACCAGAACTTCAGAATATCCCATGCAGAATCTCAGTTTTTTGAGACCCTTAATTATATTTCACAATTTGTCTATGATGTCAAGAAGATTCATTTAACTCTGCTTAAGAAAGAAGAAAGCCTTTTGCTGTCCCCAGGTACTAATGTTTTTGCATTCAGTTACTTCCTGCATCCCTTGAGAAAGAATGTCTTCTCTCTCCAGTGCACAGATTCAGGAGGAGATCAGAGTTTTATTAACAGTGACGGTGATTTTCATTTGTATTTAAATTGTTGCTCTCCCTTAATGTGCCACATCCATTTCATTTTCATGGTGAGGTTATGAGCAGCTTTTAGGTGTGCTCCTCCCCCTTTGCAGTGACATTATTCTCCTGAAGACTCGGAGAGAACAGAGAAGCATATCTGGCTCCTATGTAAAGGTCTTTTGAAGCAGACCAGCTGAGTCCTAGAAGTCCAGTAGTTTTCATCCCAGTTTGTTTCAAGTCGATCAATTGATTAGCATGAGATTTTTGCAGCTTCTCTTGATGAATGATTGTTTAAAAGGCTGGTATTGAGTCATGTTAGCAGTTGTGCAATAGTGTGTCACCAGATTTTAATACAAATTCTCTCTTTACTCATAGGGACAAAGTGGAAAAACTAAATACAGAATCAAAACACAAACTGGCTTATTCTGGAAGAGTAAAGACAATTTGCCTGCAAAAAAATACTGCACTGTGGATAGGGACAGGAGGAGGACATATCTTGCTGCTTGACTTATCAACACGTCGTCCTGTACGAGTTATAGACAACTTCTGTGATTCTGTTAGAGTCATGATAACAGCTCAGCTAGGTAAGTGAAACCAGCAGAAGACAAGTATTTTTAAATCAGTGCCAAGTTTAGGATTGCTGTCTCCTGTTTGGCGTGGTGTTCCAGGAACAGATTAGCATTTTCCATGTTTTGTTCGTTCATTCTATTCCACTGCTGTCATCTTCAGTCAATGTCAGACACTCCAGTGTCAGCTGAATACCAGTAGGCTGCCATTCATACCTGTGCCCACATAAAACAACAGCTCTTCCCTGGCTTGTTACTGATCAGCCCATGAACACACCCCGCCTTCACTGCATCCTTGTGCCATGTTTCTCTCACTGTCTTCTGTCTGATAGTCTCCATCCTCATCTGTGTCTCACTGCGTTCTTTCTCCGTCTTACCTTTATGCTTCTGGCTTCGTTCTATGGAGCTTGTTAGGTTTTAATAATTTTTCCTTAATTACTTGTTGCCCAGTTTTCTTCTGTCCTTATTCAGGAATCATTCTTTTAGGTTTGGGTCACAGGCAGATCACAGCAAAGCTGGGAAGGTGCTCCAGACTTGGACTCAGGGTGCAGACTTGTACGTTTGTGCAGTTCCTGTCACCAGGGCCTGTTGTCTCAAGCTGCTGTAGGCAGACAGTAGTTGTGAGTTTTCAGTGGTAATTACAAACAGCCAGAGGTCTGTAGTTGAGTATGGGGCACTGCTTGTCTATCATAACTTCCTTCACCTGTATGCTTTCCTGCATCTCTCCCAAAAGTAAAAAGGCCATACCAACTCAGGAGTTCATTGTATTGCAGTGGTGGGTACGTTCAAAATACACATTACTTCAAAACATACTCTGTGGCACAATGTGTGGATTCCCATTGCCTTCCACTGTGTTTTGAGAAAAACTCTGGATTTCCCTCATCAGCATGATTTAAAGTGTGTTTGCTGTCAAAAAAATGACTCTGAAGCTGTTGGTGTGGACTCAGAAACACACTGTAATCCAGCTGGCAAACTTCACAGTTGCAGGCTGCGGATGTTTTCTCATTGCCGTCATGAAATTTATTTGGGGACTGTTTTTTCCTTTCTGGCACCAGAAGTATCCATAGACTACAGTTAGCTCATAGTGCTGACAATGTTGTGTGAGCAAAAAAAAACCTCCATCTTCCTCTGACTTGCCTTTGTCTGAGACAGCAAGTTTGTAGAGTCTATTTTGTCCTCAACTGTTAAAGAGTGCCAGATTCACTAGCACAGTATTTTCGGTCCTTATGGTCCTGATAGCTACAATATTAGTACTATAAAGGGATGTTTTATTTTTAGCATTTTGTAAAGAATGGTTACTACAAAAATAAAATCTCAGCCTCACTTATGTCATTGATAGGGAAAGTATATTGTATGGAATAATACAGTGTGATTTTAAAAGCCCAGAGTCTCATATTCTTTCTTTCTAGTTAACTCAATGTTTTTAAACAAAATTTTATGTATAGAAAAGTTAACACTCCAAGAGAAAGAGGTGAGCTGCGTTTGCACAAATCTCAAGAATGTCAAGTAAGACTGATACATGCAGTTTGATATGTACTTTTTTCTTTTGATAATTTTTTCCCTGAAATTATTTATAAGGGTTGGGTTTTTTCCTAAGTTCAGAGACTTTGTTTTCACTGGGGTTTTCACAGAATCTGTAAGAATGGCACTGAGGCTGCTGAGCAAGTCTTTGATAGTAATGCATTGCTTGTGTGAAATGAGAGAAGATAGAGGGAAATATTTTTTATTAAATAGTTTAATTTAAGATTAAAATATATAATGTCAATCAGATGTAAATATTTCAGGGAAAAGAGATTGCCAGACTTTGAGACATTGATTTTATCTGTAGTTCATCTATGCATATGGAAATATAATGTCTTTTTCTAATTCTCTCACCTAACACATTGACATATAAAGGTTGTGGAGTCTCCTTCTCTGGAGACATTCAAAGCCCGCCTGGATGCGTTCTTGTGTGATCTGATCTAGGTGTTCCTAGGGGGATTGGACTAGATGATCTTTCGAGGTCCCTTCCAATCTCTAACGTTCTGTGATTCTGTGATATAATAGATATGGATTTATCATAGAGAATGACTTCTATGTAAATCTATGTAAATCTGTAGTTCATTTTGCAAGTGAAAATTTAGACTTCTATGTAGTGAGGAAGGACGCTAGTCTGAATAAGAAACATTATACTTAAGTTCCAGTCACTTTGGTAAGGAGTATGTATAGGACTGGTTGCAGAAAAAATGAAAGTGAAGAAAAATCTGAGTGTGGAAGATGTGTATGGTTCCCACCAGCCCACATCTACCACAAGCAGATTTACATCACTGTCAAAGGAGAACATACTGCAGATTTCCACAGGGCAGGAAAAAAATCTCTTTCTATCTTGAAGAGATCCGGGGGGACCTACTAGAAACATTTGATGATTCAGAAGGAATGTATTGTGGGGGACACACTGCAGTGTGGTCACACAGAACTTCCAAGACTGTGGCTGTCACAGTAAGCCATACACCAGTCTGCTTATATCGAGACACTGACCCCTCCTCATGTTTTCTCTGGGCAAGTGTGTAAGACTTCATGTATGAAGAGGTGTGGGGAGGTATGGGGCACACTACTGCAGCTGGGGTGTCTGCACATGGAGGGCTGGTCCTTCCCTGGCCTGATCCATGACCCAAGCAGCTAGTCCTGTATCCCTTTACTAGCGTACAGCCAGGGGCTCACTGTCCTCGTTGTGCTGCCAGTAGGACAGGGAGCTGCTGTAGCAGGAGAACATGCAACAGCTTCCGTCTCTCTTGGAAGACATTTATAAACATATCTTGTTGGGAATAAGTGGGATGTTGATATGGAAACACTGGCACATTCGACTTACTCTTTGGTGATCCAGCCACTCCTATCTTCCTAGTCTTTTTTTGCCTTATTCAATAGACACCTTCCTATGATCCATCCCCTATTCCTTCTTCCCTGCTAACTCTCCTACCCATGTGTCATCGTTAGTTCAGAACACTTTTAATTACTTTGTATCATGTTTGTTTTTTGTTTTTTTCATAACCAAACTGATTACTAGCACTTTCTGTTTCTGCTGTGCACTGGGACTTCATTTGCAGCCTATCCCTTTGCTGTCATACCCGTTCCCTGTGACTCCACTACCTCTGCTTGTGGCATATAATAGGGTGCTTTGTTCTTGGGCTTGTTCAACAGGCTGGCCGGCTGATCCAGTGCTTACGCCTTTGAACTCTGATTAACCCGCACATTAAATGGAGACGTGAACTATATTGTTTTCATGTCTGGGTTCTTCATGGTTAATGATTTTGAATAAAGGGTCCAGTTGACTGAACTTGGCCTTCTGTCCCCTTAATGGCATGATGTCATCTACTCTTTCTGTTCTTAAATTACAAAGTTCCCTTTAAAATTAAAATTTGATATTTTATTTCTTTGAAAAAGGGAGTCTCAAGAAAGCAGTCCTGGTTTTGGGATATTGCTATAAAAGTGACACTGGAGACAACAAATATCACAAAGGTACCTGAACTGTATTTTATTAATTTGTATTGTTAGTGGAGTGTATTAACAATCAAGCACTGTTATGCTTGACTACCCACTGAGAGTGGAGAGTTGATAATCATCATTTGATATAATTTTATTGAAACATGGTTATTAGGTTTTGTTGTCTTTTGCATTTCTGAGCTCCATACAAACTAACAGTAACTTCCAAAAATGGATCAGAGGAAGCCACTATCTGAAGTATATAATTTGCTGGAGAACTGTATTTGGAGAGTAAATGTCATTGTCTAATTAGAGAATGTATCTAATGGATTTCCAGAGGGGTCTGTGCTAGGCCAGGAATCCTCAGTGTTTCCATGAATGATGTGGATGAAGGAATCGTGAATGTGCTTTTCAGATTTGCAGACAATTCTCAGCTAAGATAAAGCCACAAGCACACTGGACGGCAGGATTAGAATTCAAAGTTGCCTTGGCAATTACAACAAATGGTCTGGAAGGAAACAGAATACAATTCAGTAAGGACAAATGCAAGACCTTTTACTTAATTAGGAATGATCTGGTGTACCAACATGAGAAAGTGATCAGCTTTAAGAACAGTGCTGCAAAAAAAGAGTTATAATTGATCACAGGCTGAACACGAGTCAGCTGTGTCACATTGCTGCCGAAGAAGCAAACACCACTCACACAACAATCAAAAAGTGGTGACTGATTCTTACACTCTGTTGAGTGCTGATATGGCCTCTGCCGGAGGAGCAGATCCATTTGGGACGGTGCTGAATGATCTGGACTATTGGGAATAGTCCAGAGGAGAAAAATGTAACTTGTGAAGAAATGCTGCAGGAATTTAAGTTGGTTAATATAAATAAAGCTTAGAGAGGACATGATAATAGGCTTCAAATATGTAAATAAAGAGGAAAGGAATAAAGACTTCTATATATTCCCTGTGGGTAGGATAAGGACTAATCAGTTTCTGTTACACCAAGAGAGATTCAGGTCGAACATCAGGATAAGCTTCCTGACAATTAGGATAGCAAAATGCTGGAATAGGAAGATAGAAAATCTCCATCTCTGGGTTTTTCTGAGAACAATTACAGTTGGTGCTCTGATCTTTCTTCACCTTTATCTTATCCCAGTTCCAGTCACTCCTAGAAATGTGGCAATGACAGTATAAAGTTAAGGGTGGCAAGTGTAGATGAGCTGACTGGAGTAAAATAAGAATCAAGCTTATGGCAGTGGTTTTTATATTCTGATATTCCCTGATTATTACTGTAAGAACTCCTGTTCCCTTTTTAGCCTTTTTATTGTATTTAAGAGTGCCATTAATTATACAGAGGAATCAGAGACTCCCAGAAACCTTGGGGCCTTAGTTTGTGAGCCCCTACTCAAGCAAGTCTTCTCAATTACCCTTATTCCACTAAAAGCAATGTGAATTCTCCATGCATAAAGAGATGCTTTCATGAAGGGAGACTGAAGAAGTTACCTTTTCCCAGTATACTCACTACCTTATTAAATCAGTTTTCATTTTTAGTTTACAGTGAATGAGTTTTGAATCTTGTAAGCTTTTAGGGTATATCTACTCAGGAAAATAGAGGTGAAGTTTTATGCAGGCACCTTAGTCCTAGCGTCAGTTTTAGCTCAGGTGAGTAACTTATGGCCCAAAGGAACCAGAAATGGTTTTTCAAGTGCTTTTAAATTGTATACTCTAAGTTTAGGAACTGGAAACCAAATCATTGTGCAAGTACAAACAGCTTGTAAACCAAAACTGCATTACTTCACACTGAAAGTGTCATATAACTTGTCTTCCAAGTCCTAAGCATCGTGCTTCATCGAGGCAATTTACAAGTAATTAAAAATAAGCAGATAAGCAAAACCACTTCTAATTATGCAATAATTCTTCTCTGTTGCAGTTTTCAATTTTTTTTAATTTTTTTTTTCCAGAATTACAATCCTGCGTGTCAGTGTGGGACATTAACTTGCCCCATGAAGTGCAAAACCTGAAGAAACATATAGAAATGAGACAAGAATTAGCAGAAAAAATGAAGAGCTTTTCTTTAGACTGAAAAGTCACCCTGCAAGTGCCATTCTCTTTTCTAGCCTTCCTTCCTAACCTACTGTGCAATATTTACAACTTCTTGTTGCTGGGGTTCTTAACTGAAAACCAGGAAGAAAATTGCCATGAGAGAAGCAGTTGGTATGCATCGGATACCAAGAAAAAAAAAAGGAGGGTAAGTTATTTGTAGTTTTTGAAAGGACAGAAAACTATTGAGAATTTCTGAATCTAAGTGTTATCATGCATCTGTTTACTTGTGAAGTTCTGCTCTGAGCAAGTATGGCTCAACTTCAGTATAACATTGTTCATTTGGTTTTTGATCCCAGTTAAATTGGGAATACGCCAGGAGACTATAAATGGCTCTTACTTACTTGATTATCTCTGCTGAGTTGACGCTGTAATAAGACGCAAAATTTAAGGCTCTATGTGTTTATTGCAGTTTGCATGTATGAGTTTGCTCTGATGATTCATGTTTCAGTAATAAGTCAGAGATCATGACCCTGAGTATATAAAAGAAAACGTTATATTTTATATAACAGCAGTGTTTAAAGGAGCATATGACTATATTACTCCTTGAAAACAACAGACAGAATAGTCTTTATTTCTTCCACAAATAATTGAAATTTTTCCATTATGATCAGAAAAAAAAAAAAGTTGTGCTACAATAATAGCTCAAAATTCAGAATTTAAATACACTGACAGGCTTCTGCAAGTTGTTGTCCTCTTGCAGTACTGCAGTCTGCCTTGTTCTTCTAGTAGAAGAAGTAGTCACTTCATCACAAACATTACCATTCACCGATTTCTGTTGTACAGCACACTTTGAAAAGCCAAGGGAAAACACAGGGTGAAAGCTCTGATCTGATCAATCATTTATCAGCAGTCCTGGCTAACCGGGGAGGTCTCGGTTGACTGTAGGTTAGCAAACATGGTGTCCATCTACAAGAAGGGCTGGAAGGAGGATCTGGGGAACTACAGGCCTGTCAGCCTGGCCTTGGTGCCAAGGAAGGTTATGGAGCAAATCATCCTGAGTGCCATCACGTGGCACATACAGGACAACCAGGTGATCAGGCCCAGTCAGCACGGGTTTATGAAAGGCAGGTCTTGCTTGACTAACCTGATCTACTATGACAAGGTGACCCACTTAGTGGATGAGGGAAAGGCCATGGATGTTGTCTACTTGGACTTTAGCAAAGCTTTTAACATGGTTTCCCACAGCACTCTCCTGGAGAAACTGGCTGCTCATGGCTTGGACAGGCGTACTCTTCACTTGGTGAAAACCTGGCTGGATGGCCAGACACAAAGAGTTGTGGTGAATGGAGTTAAATCCCGTTGGTGGCTGGTCCCAAGTGCTGTTCCCCAGGGCTCAGTACTGGGACCAGTTCTGTTCAATATCTTTATCAATGATCTGGACGAGGGGATCGAGTGCACCCTCAGGAAGTTTGCAGATGACACCAAGTTGGGTGGGAGTGTTGATCTGCTCGAGGGTGGGAAGGCTCTACAGAGGGGTCTGGACAGGCTGGATCGATGGGCTGAGGGCAGTTGTGTGAGGTTCAACAAGGCTCAGAGCCGGGTCCTGCTCTTGGGTCACAACAACCCCCTGCAACGCTACAGGCTCGGGGGAGAGTGGCTGGAAAGCTGCCCAGTAGAGAGGGACCTGGGGGTGCTGGTCAACAGCTGGCTGAGTATGAGCTGGCAGTGTGCCCAGGTGGACAAGAAGGCCAATAGCATCCTGGCATGTATCCAAAATTATGTGGCCAGCAGGACTAGAGACGTGATCGTCCCTCTGTACTTGGCACTGGTGAGGCTGCACCTCAAATACTGTGTTCAGTTTTGGGCCCCTCACCACAAGGAAGACACTGAGGTGCTGGTGTGTGTCCAGAAAAGAGCAACAAAGCTGGTGAAGGGTCTAGAGAGCAAGTGTTATGAGGAGCAGCTGAGGGAACTGGGGTTATTCAGCCTGGAGAAAAGGAGGCTGAGGGGAGACCTTATCACTGTCTACAGCTACCTGAAAGGAGGTTGGAGTGAGGTGGGTGTCAGTCTCTTCTCCCAAGTAACAAAGGATAGGATGAGAGGAAACAGCCTCAGGTTGTGCCAGGGGAGGTTTAGATTAGATATTAGGAAAAAATTCTTCACTGAAAGGGTTGTCAAGCCTTGGAATAGGCTGTCAAGGGAAGTGGTGGAGTCACCATCCCTGTAGGTATTTAAAAGATGTGTAGACGTGGTGCTTAGGGACATGGTTTAGTGGTGGACTTGGCAGTGCTAGGCTTATGGTTGGACCTGATGATCTTAAGGGTCTTTTCCAACCTAAGTGATTCTATGACTCTATGGTCTAAATGCTGCTACAGAAAGAAGCATGCATGCCACTGTAGCCAGACTGCTAGATCTTGGTTTGACTTGCTGGTTTACTTATCTCAATTAAAAAAAAAATAAATAAAAGGGAACTTTCACATTGGTATTTATAAACTGGAAAGTTACCACTTATTCTTGTTTGAATTTATATTTTATTTTGAGGCTAAGCAGAAGAATCTTAAGGAGTGTAAGAATTGGCTACCTCTTGTGTGTAACTACCAGAATTTGTTGCCACACAGCTTCAGTCAAGAGTTGCCTGTTACTGGTCTCTGGCTCTAAGTCCAAGCTGCTCCTTACAGCCTGGACTGACCTCCTCTAAGTGTGTGCCTTATTTCTGTCCTTCAGAAGACAGCTGTCATTTTCTTTTTTCTTTTTTTTTTTTATACCAAAACAATCTTTAGAGTGCTTCTGAAATCTCAAGGAGTGGAGTATCCAGAACCATTCCTGAGTTTATTTCCATGGAGCTGAACAAGGTTGAGCAACCAAAAAGTTGTCAGTTCTATTTTTACAGTTTTGGAGAAATTATATACTAGGACGACAGCATTTATTGTGTCCAACGGTATCATTGTTCTGTTTCCTGCCATTTGTTGAGTGTGTACTCAGGACTCCTTTCAGATATGCACCCCGGTTTTTATGTATTCTTGTATTCTGCATACTGAGAATAATTTGCTATTTATAGGGGATTTTATAACTCAGAAAATGTATATTGTCTTATAATAAATACTTTTTTCTAAAAAATAGAATATATGTATTGTGATTATGTTTATTTATAAGCCATTTTGAGATGTAAGCCTTCAACCTTTTTATTAAAATTGTGCTTTGTTAATAACATAGTCTGTTTTCTTAACACTGAATTTCCAAGGAGGAGCTTTCATGTACAGTTTTTAGGGAGCTCAATCCCAGGTATCAGGATGATGCAAGATCCCAGTTCTGTGGGTTGTGCTGACAGAGCTGCATTCCCACTTGTTCTCTCTCACAGTGCATGTCTTGAGCCCTTTTCCTTTCCTCAGTTTGTCTTCTACTTCGTGTTCCTTGCAGCCTTTCCCAGAGGTGGGAGGTGACCTGTAAGCAGTACTGTACTGTCCTTGCAGCTGTGAGTCACCTCTTCTGAGATTCTCTGAAAAGAACGACCCGTAGACTGAATCTGGCCTAGATGGTAGGTATTGCAGGGATAGCAAAGAACAAAAGAGACAACAGCAACCAAACAAAAGACTGGAGGTCATTACAAACCCAACTACATCGGTCACTGTTGAATTATCGGTGGTGAGAGGGTAAAATTTGGTAACAGTGGTAAACCACTGTGACTATTTGGCCATACAGAACTCATTCAAATGGCACAAAGCAATACAGCTGCATCCTCCTCAAATATTTTTTAGTACTAGAAGAAAAGATTTGGAGAGGATCTTGGGTTGGTGCTTCTTGTTAGTCTTTGCCATTTGATACAGTCTAGAAGTACATCTCAGGCCATCTTGAGCCCCATTAAGCTCATGCTGCACAGCTGCCTGTCTGCCACGTGTGGCATTTCTTGGGGAGAATAGTGACAGGGCACAGCCCGTCAAATAAAGCAGACAGCCCTCAGCATCCCTTTCTTTTCTGAGTGTGGGAAAGCTGTATGGAATGAGGTAGCTGCAGCTGTCAGGCAGTAAGTGTGCAGGTCCAGTTTAAAAACACTAAGGAACTGGCATCCCCTTCCCAGCTGGGACATGCCACCAAGGGGAAGAACACTACTTCTGTGCAACAACCATTTAAACCTGTGCTATAAGGAAACCTTTTTCCCAGAAACATCTCTACTGATAAACTGGAAGGAAAGAGGAAATAAAAAGATCCATGACTTTGTGTTCCCTCCAGTTTTAGTAGATCTGTTTGGAAACCAGATCTTGTGATCACACAAGAGCATAAGCTCTACCAGATGTAATGCTTCCTGTATACTTAGGATAACATCGAGCACCTGAAAACAGAAAAATGACCCTTACTTCAAAAAAAGAGCCTGTTTGCTTATGGGAAACAAGCAGTAGGAAGTGGCTGTAATTTAACACCTGAGCTAGGACATTTCATTAAACCCATGTTCCTTGGAACTGAGCAGCAAAAGCCTACTGGGGTTTAGTGCCTGTTGCTGTAGACACCTCAGTAAGACTCCTCAATACTTACACTAGGTCCTGTTCAATTAAGTAACAAAATTACAGGAACAATCAAATTGTGAAAAACATTTTTCCCTGCAGTGACCTTATGCTGACTGGTACCTACCGCTGACATGGTTTATTTGAACGGAGCAGTAAGCTGGAATTTATATTTTTAAGTTATTTAAAGTTATAATACACCCACAGGTTGACCCAAAAAAAAAAAAATTAAAACTAGCCTAGTATGATTCTGCTAAAACCAAAATGAAAGTAAGTTAAGCCCTTTTTTCCATTTTTTTTCTGTGTTGCTTTGATTTTCTTACTGCCTGAGAGGTGGCGGGCGAATACTGTCAGGTTTGTTGAGCCCTGCCTTCAGTGCCTACAAAGGCTGCAAGTAGAGACTTAAAAAGCAATGTTATGTCTCTGGCGTATGTAATTATTTACTTCACTTCCACCACAGCCCATTAGCATCAATGACCTGAAAAGTTAAAGTGGAGAGAAAAGCAGAAAGAAATAAAAATCTTCTGCAGTAATTCCAGTGTTT